TTTAAGGAATTGATTTCACTTCAAATTTTAATAGTTTTAAATGTTACCGTGTTTCCATTTAAATTCGAAAAACTCATCGTGAGAAAAGTTAATTTAATTCGATATTATAATGCATTTGCTTTTCTACATTGTGCAGAAAGAAAATAGGAAAAAATAACAATGACAAACAGACAATTTTTAATTTAACTTCATAGAATAAATATATTTACAAAATATTACAAGTAATAAAGGTAGACTTTTGCTAATAAATAAATTTAATTAGTCTGAAATTGACAGCCTTTTGCGGTATTGCAGATAGGTAAACGTTTATTGAAATTTCCAAATATGGGCCGCATGTCAGAGCAGGGAGCTCACTAATGTGACAAGCTCTTAACCTAATAATAAGCCAAGTCGATCGTGGAATTGTGCAAGCAGTACAACACTTTCGGTCTTTATGGATGAGGGCGTTAAAACAAATACAAATATACCTGCGGGACATACTAGATCTGTTGCTGTTCCATGGACAGAAATCACTTCAAAGTAAACTGATTGTTTTAACAAGACTGCGAACGATCTCACAAGGCTAAAAATACACACGAATAGAATTAGACGCATTTTCCGAATTTAATACAATCTGAAGAATGGCAACCATACATATTCAATCATAAAAATTACTGTATATGGTCTATTTTGGAATTTAGAGTCTTCACTAAACCACACGAAAGTTTGAACTATTTAAAGCAATTGCTTCGACAGGAATATATTTCAGATCAAAGACTTGCCGTCCATTGCTGAAAAGTTCACTAAGCGTTTGCACATCTGCTTTGCTGCAAAAGGCTGCTTCATCTGCTACAGGTTATCTTTTAAGAAGTTTTTTTTTAAACAATAAATTAAAATATCATTTGCTTAGTTTCCGTCTATTTTTTTTTTTTAAACTTGTAACATTTGTGGAAATTTTGTCAAACTTGTATTATCATTGCACATCATATGCGCAAAAACATTAACAGTTAGATAAAAAAAAACATGTTTTCCTTTCTTTTTACATTTCAGTGACATCATTTAAAGGAAATTATCTAAACGTAACGAAAGTCAGTCGTCTTCATATGGGAGCATACCTGTGCATATTCTCAAATGGTGTCCCTCCATCTTTGAGTAAACGAATTGTGCTTGGTGTTACATGTAAGACATATTGTATTTTTCTTTTATTATTTGAAACATGTTTAAAGGGAATATTCTCCAAAAATGTCGAACAAAAAACTATTGAATGAGTAAAAGCGTTGCAGTTTAAGTGTTTTCTTAGAAATGTCACAAGCATTACAGAAAGTTAAAACTATTTAGTAGGAAAAAAGGAGATTAAATTCTCTTTACGAAGGAAAAAAACCATGATTTCTAGTGGCTTTCCAAGAAGGACTTCTTTTTTACTCTTGTTTTAAGAGTACTATTTACAATCATGCTGGTAACAGGATAAAATCGATTTTCTCTTTGTCGAAAGAGAGGGTGCTATTGGCATAAGGAAGAAATGGTATTACTTAAAGATTTTACGTCCTTCCAACCTTAAAAGTCTTAAAATAGTAGCACACGGTTAGCTATATATATATATATATATTAATTCAAATGTAGCAAACTTTTT